TACTTTATTTCAGAAGAGACTTCTAAATTTGATTTCATAATTCTGTTGGATATGATTTCTTGCAAACTGTACAGAAGCAAAAGCCCTTATGATGCTTACAGGAGTCAGTGAGGGTTTTTTTGCAGATCATGTGAGAATGCAATTCATCAAGATAGTTACAAAAGTGTTATGGATTATATACAAAGAAAAAACCTAGTTTGTTTTAATGTTTTAACTTGCCAACAGACATTATTAGCAACGTTACCCAATGTACTGGTACTTATGTTTCCGGGTAGTTTTACATCACAGCTGAAGTTTCTATTTATTTTAAATAAAAAATCTTAATCACAGTAGGATATAGTGTGTTTACAGGAGATTGATGAATCAAAAGTTGTCTCATTGTTGTGACATCATAATCAACACTTTCGCATACTAGACAAGTGGTTGACTTTTAGTGCCCCTTCCGTCACGTTTGAAATCTGGTAATGCTCTACTCGATTGTGTTACCATATGGTTATCAGAGCAAGTTTTTTACATTTCCACAATCAGCATTGCATATAATTTAATACTGATATACATAAAACCTTCAAATTCTAAATTTAGGACATAAAAATATTGAGTTAATGATCGAATCCTAAACCCAACCTACCGTATCTTGATAAGAGCACTGATTAAACATCAATTACCGCCTATGATTGACAAGATGACAATGAACTTCAAGTTTTGTTTGTTCAATAATTTGTTGATCTGCAATGGCTGACAAAATACCTGAATGTTTTATTTGTTTTATAAACCCTGGCGAAACATCAAGGTGTCAAAGTCTGATTGAGGGTATGGGTAAACAAGTTTGTCTAACGGATACCTCCTTGAGAATCGTTCCCACGAACTAACCTATCAACTTTCAAATTATACAAAACAGAAAAGCAAACAAAACGATAGAAGGAAAATGCACCAACATACATGCAAGAACCAATCAGAAAGCGGAGAATTGCGCTGTTTCATTCAAATCTTGTTGAGGAGCAAAAACATCCACCCCTGGATTGATAGCCTTGTTGAAAGACTGCTAGCTATTCAGAACACCTATGTTAGTTACAACCAAGTCTGATTCATCACCCTGCTGCTTTCATACAGCGGAAGCTGGAATTACAGTTTGTGTTGACCTTTAGGCGTTCTTTGTTTTCCTATCAAAGCACTCAACAGTCATTGTGAGATGCTTTATTCCAACTTTGTTTACTTTCAAAAATAGTTCCCTTTTTTTATTGAATTTCTTTATCCGCAATCCATTGCTCTGGGGTGAGGGTTGGTTCAGGTTGTCGTGTTCTGAATGAATTGATAATCAAGGTGCTACCGAAATAAAAGAATAATAGCAAACGCACAGCATAGTACTGGATCTGGAAACGATAAACACTCATCAATTTTATTATGCAGAATTTTTTTGTATTCAATACTAAACAACTCCCAGCATGATCGCAAGTGGCCATAAAACAGAAACAAGCTGAAAGATTTTTTACTGGTTCTGAAGTAGTTTCTCCCATCAAGTTTAAATGGGAACACTCCATACACCAGAAAGACTAGACCAGACCAATATACGTATATATAATATATGTCATGATACCCAACATTTATTTAAAATTAGGCTACAAGCACAGAATATGATGATTGAAAACGATGTCACGTTTAAATAGATTGCCAGTTTATTCAGTCCTATTTTAATATACTTGCTGTAAAAATAACTTGAACCAAAGTGTTCACCTAACAGCGGTGATCCCTAATACTTCCAGAAAGACAATCATTTTCTTAGGTCCTATGGTGTCAAGTTAGACAGTTTCGTTTTGTATTATAACAATTTTAAAACAAGAAATAACATTTGTATGTTCCCTGATTTAGGATTACCAGATGACACAATGAGAAGATATATAAAGCAAAAGTAATGAGAAATGTTACTCTAAGTAATTTCCTTTTTAATAGCGTTCAGTTCACTAAGCTGTTTGTTTTACAGGTGTGTAGTTCATATGAATATACTTTAAAAGGTTTCAGTTCACCAAGGTGTACAGTTCACCAAACACTTAACACTATAGAAGTGTTCACTTTACAAAGGTACTTAGTATTCAATTCACCAAGGTGTTCACTTGATAGCAGTGTTCAGTTTACCAAGGTGTTCAGTTTACCGAAGTGTTTGCTTCAAAACAGTGTTCAGTTTACCATGGTGTTCAGTTTACCAAAATGTTTGCTTCAAATCAGTGTTCAGTTTACCAAGGTGTTCTGTTTACCAAGGTGTTCTGTTTACCAAAGTGTTTGCTTCAAAACAATGTTCAGTTTACCAAGGTGTTCTGTTTACCAAAGTGTTTGCTTCAAAACAGTGTTCAGTTTACCAAGGTGAGGGGTGTTAATACTGTTTACCAAAGTGTTTGCTTTGTTCAGTCTACAGAGGTGTTCAATTCACCAAAATGGTTTAGCATATGGCTGCCTCTGAATCCATGTGGTAAGTTTTAGTAGTCTAGTTGTGCCATTAGCAACTAGCATCGGCTACTGTTACTGTAATTTTGAGTTCCAATCAATGAGTCACTGTTAGTTCAATAGTAAACAAAAGTGAAACGAAACAGTCAGTTTGAACTTGATTGGTCAAGGAATGTCAGAGATATGGCTATGGAACAGCATTTGTTTATAAACAAATGGCCATCAGACGGCCATTTTGAATCCGATCTGCTAAACAAAATGACATACATCAAGGTCTCATTATGTCCAATGTATGACCAATCAAGTTCAAAATTTATAGATACATCATGTTCAACATATGCACATATATTCGTTTGATCACATTCAAGATGGCCGAATGACAGCTATTTTGATCATAAAATTGACTTGGACAGTGAATGTTTCCTGATGCAAAAATTACAATCACAGTATTCTGAAACAATCCACAAGTGGTTATAGATCAAAGAAAGAAGAATATGTTAATTATGTCAATAATACAGTGTTTCAAGAACAAGAACACTGACAAAGAGTACAGTAAATGAACGAGTTTTCAAGTCTAGAATTTTAAACAAATAATAACAAATACATAATTTTTTACATTTATAATTAGTATTTTGTGTATTTTACGAGTGCTTCCTCGCACACAAGAACAGTATATCCAATGACCCACTGTGTGAAAATGAAATGTTACCATGGGAACCACTGATGACCGTTGAGTGAAAATGGACATATACGCGTATATCTGCAAAACAACAACTAAGATAGATTGTTTTTCAATATTCAATGTATAATACAATCTGTGAAGCAAATGAGGTCAGATCCTGGCATTCAGGAATGTGCCGAAAGCGAAATAAAATTAACTCATCAATAAAAATCAAAAACAAATTTAAATTTATGTTACACATAAGGTTCTATGATCCAGCCGTGCATATGAACTTGATAGCATACAAGGTCAAAAATTGAGTTATAAGTTTGATCTATATCAAATATTTAGATATAATAATCCTTCGTTGAATTTATAATACCCAGTAGTTATAATAATAAGTATATTTTTACACTAGTGTTTCTACAGTTGTGTCACTGTGAGACGTTATCGCAAA